TAGGGAGCAATGTCTGAACAAAGCACAAGCACTTAGTAACTAGGGTTATAATTGGGGTAACTGTACTTATAACCCTAATAAGGTACTAAATTGTTGGGAAGAGGCTGGCATTCATGCTAGACACTGCGAGCTGCTGAGGCGTGGACTGGCATCGGTAATGTTCAGGAACAGATTGTGTGGTTGCGTATGCGCGGAGTTGGTGCTGAAACCTGAGACCATAGTAGCACAGCGCAGACTTTGTTTGGTCCTTGTTGCCTGAACGCCGCCACAGTTATCCGAAAGTTCAGTGCACAGCTGTATCTCATTTTCCAGTAATTAATCCGAACATCTACACTACCAGCGCACCATGAACGTCTGGATATGTGGGATGGGCGGCTTCTTGCAGCCGAGGAGGCGAATGTTTGGAATGTTTAGTTTAGTTGTGCCGCTTCAGAGCCTCGCAGGAGACCGCTCCAGACCCTAACCTTGCTAGTCGACCCCGCTGCAAATGAGGGTGTCGACCGACATCATCATCATCATTATCATCATCAGCCGCAGCAAGACCAGCACCAGTCTATCAACGAAGTTAGCAACCAGGCCGGCAGCCATAATTACCGCCGGAGGAGTTGATACTGGTGGTCATGGCGAGTTGCTTACGGCTTACGGTGATGACCCTGCTGCAAGTGTTGAAGACATCCGCTGGAGAATAAGGTAGTGTTGGTGACGACTCAGCTGATGATGGAGGTGGTGTTGAGCATGGTGATGATGCTGATTGTGCAAACTCTGGGTGATCCCGGTGAGCTTATCTTGGCTGCTTTGATGGTGATGATCATGATGTTGACGAGATTGATGTCGATGGTCATAAGTTCTGGACAGGATGCTTCCCATTATGCATCACCGTTTCCTTGTTGTGGTTTCCAAGCTTCGTCATCGTTCTAATCTGGACCTCGTGATCGTTGTCGTGTTTTGCGTCGCCGTGTGGGGTGGCGAACAATCTCAACAAGCTCGCCGCATCCTTAGCCCCCGAGGCCGTCAACTATGCACCGAGGCGAAATGCCTGGGTTCAAGCGGGATAGTTTTTGTTTCCTCCATCAAATGCAAGAATCCGAACGTTGCTTTGAGTCTTGAGCCTTGAACTCCTTGAACCTTTACCGCACCGGAAGGACGGAGTTTGCAGCCCTGGGACTTCCCCCAGAGGCCTGTGCATGCTTGTTCCTTGATCAAGGAAACGATAACCCGAAGTTCTTTTCAGAGAGGTCTTTGGGCTGAGACGTAGCAGACGCTGTGCCAAGACTCCGAAGCTGTGGTCCACCCAATTCCAACTGAACTGGGGTCCTTGCGCCAGCAGAAGCCCTGACGGTGCCGTTGTTCTGCTGTCCAGGCTTGCAAAGATTGCACCCGAGAGGCAATGCGGCACTTGGAACAGTGCGGATGATACTGGCATGCATGTTTACAGGTTTACAGGGGTACCTTATTTTGGGGTTATTATAATAAGGATGCTACTATTTAGGGTACCATTTTAGTGTCCCCTATTTTCGGAAACTCCCATCTCTTTCATTGATTTCGCTGCCGCTACTCGATGCAGCCTGGCTTCAGTCTAGAGCTCGTCCTAGGAAGCGTTCCTTCGGCAGCCAAAGCTGCTTCGGCCATGTTGAGTCTCGAGGGTTCGTGGACGTTGTTTAAGTTCCGGCAGTCCATGTTGCCACTGTTGTTAAGTACACCAGTCCTATTTCGTATGTAAGTCCAGCTGAGCAGCGATTTAGAGCTGGAGCATTGCTCCAGGTTTCGGGAGTGCTATGTTCAGAATATTGATGCTGATGATTGCGACAACGGGCCTCAAGATGTTACGGATGCAGCAGCTCTTGGTGGCATTGTCGTTGGAATTGTTGGTGTTGCTGCTGTCCTGAGCGATATGACCGATGCGATTGTAAGAACACTGACGATGATTCGTACATACGGTGTTCGGCTGCGTTGCAGACAATATCATGGATTCCGATGATGATGATGATGATGATGATGATGATGATGATGATGATGATGATGTGATTTCCACGGTGCTGATGGAGATCATAGTGTAGACCTGCATGATGATGATATGACATGGTAGTATAGGTCAAGACGACAATGATGATTGGTGTTGATGACCATGAAGATGTGGATGCCGTGGAAAGCTGATGGCTGTGATGCTGATAACTGGCAATACAACAAAGCACTAGTAGGGCTGATGTTGCCGGCTATGGTGCCGATACTGCGTTGGGCTAACATGTGGTCGCTGCGTGGAGAAGTGGTTTGACTTCCCCAGACTTAATTAGGTTTGAGCTGACCATTCCGATGTCTAGCCCCGAAGATAGGTGCTGAACGCCGCCGGAATTTCCCAGTGCTTCGAGTACAGGGCAACTTCGCACTCCCAGCTCGCACAAATATTTTAGGTCATAGGCTCATAGGCCTCTCTCACGCAGCAGGAACTGCTGCAACGGCTGCGAGAGGCAGGGTTGGCTGCCTGGTGAGATTGTTTGACAACCTGGTGACCTATTCTTGGTTCGAGTTGGTTCGATTAAGTGGGTGCAGAGATGTGTGCAGATTCGATCTGCGGCCGAACGGCCCCGACATGATTAACATGTCGCCTGCATGTGGAGTCAACGCTTTCGGAGTGCACGGTCCGAGGCATTCCGAGAGTAAATCACGGGGTCATGTTACTCGTACTTGCTGTGGCGAAGCCTCGTGGTGGAGAGCGGTCCATGTCGGTTACCAGCCTGCAGTCTTCATTTGCATTTGATTTCTGGGTCCGGTTGCACTGCATCGTGCCTGCAATGCATGCCAAACTCTACGGCCCTCAACCCAAAAGCCTGTATGTTCGTCCTAGCCAGGCCGGAGACACAAAAGGTTCCGAGGCCAGAGTCGAAGCCCCCAAGCCCAACCCATCCCAACCCACTAGGCCCACTAGGCGTTATCCGCCGACCTTGGTCTTTTGTCGTGTCCGCAGTCGTCTCCGCTGGCCCTTTTCGTAGCATTGCTCCCTTAGAGCTGAAGGCAGGTCACCAGGCCGGAAGGGATGTTTGCTTGGCCAAAACTGTCAACATTGCAGGACGAATCAGTGAAAGCCTGTGGGAACGATGCTAACGATGATGATGATGATGATGATGATGGTCATGATGATGATGATGATGATGATGCAGGGCTGATGCTTGTGGTGCTGCTGGTGCTGGTGCTGCCGGTGGTGGTGGTGGTGGTGGTGGTGGTGGTGGTGGTGGTGGTGGTGGTGGTGGTGGTGGTGGTGGTGGTGGTGGTGGTGGTGGTGGTGGTGGTGGTGGTGGTGGTGGTGGTGGTGGTGCTATTGGTATTGGTGCTTGTATTGGCACTGGCATTGGTAGCTGCTATTGGTGGCATTTGTCAGTGGTGTCTATGATGCTGATGACGATGGGATTTATCAGTTAATGTGAGAAAGTTAGTATGCTGTAGTACTCTTGCTGATGTCCTGGTTCTTACCTGCTATGACGACGGTGAACACTGCGGAGCTTGTTCAACTGCCGTCGCAGCTTTTGGTGATGATCGTCACTGGTGGTGGTGGTGTTGGTGGCGACGACCTTACAGGCTGTGGCTGTTGTGTTGGATGTCCCGGCTATGAGATGACGGGCGTTGATACTCTGAGCTGAGTTTCGGCAGTTTTCAGCTGTGGTGGCTGTAGAACCTTCATCACTCGCGGGTAGTGCATGGAAGGTAAATGCATGCCGAACCTGTGTTTGCTAGGAGGCCTTGACAGAATTGGGGTTTGGGCAGGTCTTAAGGTGCTGGCAGTGTTCATTTGGAGGGAGGGGAGCGTTCTTCCCGGCCCGTGTCAGAGGAGTCTGTAATTCGTGATGTAGGTGCCTGCGGTGCGAAGTGCTTGTCCTGGTTCCCGTTCTGTTCAGCCCCCACAAATCATGTTGCAGGAATGTACTTACTTGTACTGCAAGGGGACATAACGGGCATCCCCCAAAGCACCTTCGTTGCCGGGGCCCGGGAGTGTTTGATGCGTCTTGAGGATGGGCGCCGACGGAGATCTGAAGACGCCTGTGCCACCGAGGGTCGGGCTCCGATTCATGTTGCGGGTCAAGGCGTGTCATTTCATAGAAATGCCAATGTTGCATGATGGGTATGACGTTCTGGAGTACATGGATGTAGCGTTCAACGTTCGCAGGAACCGTGAGCTTGCGAATGTTTACGTGCCCGCCCGATGGTTTGGCTTGCTGAAAAGCTGACGTCGGACCGGAACCCCGTCAGCTTCGAGAAAGCCACAAAAACCAATCTGCACAACAGATTCAGAGACGCCTTCCTGCCGAGCGCTCGTGCCAATTTCCAGACCTGTCCAGAGGGACTCCGGAGTTGTTCCTCTGAACCGAATCAGTACCGCGGCGAAGTACCCGAAGCTTTTGAAACAACTTGAATTCAAAGCCGGCCTGCCGAGCAATATGTCCCACGAAACCCCGTTTGCCGGGTCGCTTCTGAGCGGTGCACGGGATCGATGTAAATTTTCGGCAAAGGGCTGAAGCATGACATACTAGTTGAGAGACATGTGTGAAGGGGTTGTTGAGTGGTCGTTTTTTCGCATGAGCTGTTCGTTGCTTGAGCAACAATCTGCGTCTGGTCCGACCGTACAAGGGTTGGGAGTGAGCAAGCGATGTTCAGGGCCCGACGAAACGTGTAGCTCTGAGAGGGGCAAAGCTGAAATGCATCCGGTGTGTGGTTGATGTGGGGCATGTTGCCGAAAGCTTTGGCTTCTTTGGGTTTGTCGCCTGCGCTAAACAATGAGGGTTTTGCTTCGCCGGCCCTGCAATAAGTAAGAGTAGAATACAGCATTGAGTATACCCTAGTATATGAGAAGAGAGAGCATAACAGAGCAAAGAATACTCTAGCATACGAGAATACACGACTATAACATCTCAACCCTGAAATAATAATAGGGATCTTACCATGTAGGGTACTGGATTCGGGTCCCCTATCTTCGGAAACCTGAAGCCAAGCCTTTGCTTTTGTCTAAGTTCATGGTGCTCATGGCCGACTGGTGCAACGTGTGGGCCCGACACCCAGCGTTTCTGCATGGACGCGATTAGGGGGATGGTTCGGGGGGTTTGGGCCTATGTTTCTTGAGTCGTGGCATAGTCACTTCGGAGAGAGACATCGCTCAAAAAAGGGTTTAGGGTTGAATTGCGTGAACTTTGGTTGTAACTGATTTACCTGAGGCAGGAATCACCTTGGTCATCTCCTTCTCGCTCATCACAGGCCGACGTCATCAGCAGATCAGCTGGCCCTCGGGGATCTTCCCAGCTGTCAGTTGTCGAATAAGCTATAAGTGCTCACTCCCTTTTGGCGGCAGGTGCGTTTACATTCAACTGGTTCAAGATGGCCGGCACCGTCCACACAGTCATGCAGGCTCATGCTGGAGGTTCAGGGATTGCGCGAAGACTCCTTCCAGTAATTATTGCTGTTGTTCCTGGACGTTGAGCCCGGAGGTGACAATGTGTGCCGAGGGTGTCCTTTGGGCCGTGGCTGCCGGATTCTTGACGAAGGCACAGATGGCATCACGATAGCTGTGCTAATGACGTATGAAAGCACGGCTCACGTACTTAAGGGATGCAGCAGGGAATCCAAACTTGCAGCACGAGTGGAGCTTTTTTGCATGCTACTGTCCCGCCTGTGCGCGAAGCAGACCAGCATGGCGGCAACAGCTTGACAACCTGCTTCAATGAGTCAAAGAAGCATCCCCCAGTGCGAGCTTGATTTCCTGTGAAAGTGTTGCTTCAGCCGTGTATGCTGCACGACAAGTCGACCTACCCAAACATCCACGGCGGATAGCCGAGACTGACACAGATCAACATGATTGTGAACAACGCCGCAGTGGCTGTTGGTCAGACGAATCTTGACCGAATTCAGTGCAGTATATGATACCACCACATTTCGTCGATGCCGCATGTCGCAAGGACACGCAAAGGAGTCGCTCACAGTGATCAGGTGTTTTTGTCAGCTTTTTGTGCTATACTTGTTTTCGCATTCCGCGCTTACCCAGGATCATTTGCTTCGGCGGCATCTTCTTTGCCGTATCCGGCTTGTACGCTTCTTGACTTGGATACACCTTGACGAACGAAAGGCAGTGTGACTGTGAATGCGCACCCCGTAACCAAACGGACGTCAGAGACGGATTGAGTTGCATCGAGATTGCACGCAAGCCAGATTCCCAAATAGCCTGTTTCAAGCTGAATACCGAACTAGATCCGTAGAGTGTGGGCACTCTGTGTCGAAGCAAACTTTTCCGTTAATGTTCCTGAATGCTGTAGTGTTTGCACCAGAGTAGAGTACGTTTATATTGCCTGCCATAGCATGGGGGCATCAGATTGGAATTTGCAGCTTACTGGGTGAGCGTGGCTGTTGATCGACTCCAATATCTGCACAACATGAACGATGCTCTGCGAAGCAGGACGCTTAGTATGGAAGCGGAAGTCTCGTTTGCCTGTTCGAACCTTCGTAAGGATGGTGTCCCGGGGAAAATCATCAGCATCCACTATGTCTTGGCGCCTGACACTCACGCGCCCCTTGCTGCAATGCTAGCAGCTTGAGAAGGACTGAGGGGTAGGTGTGTACAGAAATACTCAGGTGGCGGTACGTTTGGTGACGCCTTGAAAGCAAGCCCGTCACCGCCTGCCAATGCCAGGCTTTTTGCTGATGCTTGCCCCTACTATGGCATCACATGCTTCTTAGCTGCATGTACATTAGCCGGGCCGATTTGGTGTCGTTTCTTGGTCCCAGCAGCTTGTGTTATGGTGCACGCTGTTTTGGTACGGCACGGTGGCAAGGAAGGTCCAGCACACATGTGAAACCTGACGACTACCAACCTTTCGGCAGCATGCTCGAGAACGAAAGTCTGCCAATGTCTCCAATTTTCGCACGAAGTCTCACCATCGACCAACAGGCCTGGTACCGGTAGCGGTAGGAGTAGGAGCAGTCGTAGTAGTGGTAGCAGCAGCAGGAGTAGTAGTAGTAGTAGTAGTAGTAGTAGTAGTAGTAGCATCAGGAGTAGGAGTACTAGTAGTAGTAGTAGTAGTTGTTGTAGTAGCAGCATGAGTAGTAGGAGTAGTAGTTGTCGTCGTCGTAGTAGTCGTAGTAGTCGCAGTCATAGTTGTAGTAGTAGTAGTAGTAGTAGTAGTAGCAGCAGCAGCAGTAGTAGCAGTAGCAGTAGTAGTGAGGAGTAGTGGTGGTGGTGGTGTGGTAGTGGTAGTGGTAGGGTAGCGGGAGCGGTAGCGGTACCTGTACTGGTACTGTTTTGGTAGTGGTAGTCGTAGTCATAGTCTTCGTCGTCGTAGTCGTCGTCATAATATGATAGTAGTAGGAGGAGGTTGAGGGTGAGGTTGAGGTTTGAGTTGAGGTTGAGGATGTGGTTGTGGTTCTTCTTCTTCTTGTTCGTGTTGTTGTTATGGTTGTTGGTGGTGGTGGTGGTGGTGGTGGTGGTTGTGGTGGCCGTAGCTTGCTGTGGCTGGTGCTGTTGCTGTTGCTGTTGGGGTTTCCGTTGCTGTTGCTGCTGTTGTGATTGTTGTTGCCCTGGTTGTTTGCATGCATTTTTCCTGCCAGGTTCCGAGAATATCCGAGCACCTAGCCGAAAGGCGTCACGTCGCCCATGCCATGACACTGTGAGGGTCGAATCATGTCGAATCTCACTGACCAGGTTTTATGGTTGCCACTTCTATGGGCTTGAACGGCGTGTGGGGCCTTCCGAAGCCACCTGGCCAACGGTCTTGGGTGGACTCTGTCATGAAACGCAGCAGTGGGTTCACCCCGAAACAGTCCAAGAACTTATACCATGAAATGATTAGAGCTGTATGCCAAAACGAACGAGCAACATTTCCGCGTCACCAGGATTCACGTTCGCTGTTCGCTTAGATTACGAATTCTGTGTTTCGGGGCTGTTCAACTTTAAACGGAGCTGATTAGCCGCAAAATCCCAGGCCCACCCTCGCACTTCACAATGCACAGCATTTACGAGTCGTAGAAGGCCTTCAAAAAGGTATTCCAACTACAGGTCCAATTCGATTTTCGACCCCAACCAACGGGGTTTCACGCAAGCCAAGACAGCGATCAGATACTTGTTGTAAACATGTTGGGAACTGGACGAAGATGTGTTACGTAGCAGGATGGCCATAGCCCCAACAAAATGGAAACGGGCTCCTTCGGACCTTGCCCTGCCAAGCACCAACAAGCAGCGCAAAGGTTACAACATTGAGGAAGTAGAGGGACTCCCGAAGAGCGGCAGGCATGCTAAGGGCGCGGCATAACCCCCGGTCGCCCAAGCAGTCACAGTGAGAATACGTCCTTATTGCAGGCTACTGCACCGAACACACAAGCGGCTTTGCTCGAACGCGAACAAGCTCTCATAGGTGCGGGTTATATCGTTTATACAAATATCTACTCGTATGTGTGTGTGTATATATATATATATATACATATTATATATATATATACATATGTATATATGCTCTCCGGAATTGCCAGGCTTGTCCTTGTTCGCGTTGCACTGACTTTTCCGTCGGACATCTTAACCCCCAGAAGCCCTCAGCCTCCAAGCCCTGAGATGCCCGAAGCTACATCGTCAAGCCGAGGAACAAGTTTGTGAGCCCCTTCTGGGCTGTGGCTGCGAACTGAGCTGGTTGAGCTTGGCCGAGCCGCGATTGTTCCTGTCTCCATGAGCCGTCATAACCTTATGCATTGGCCTTCTGTAAATGATCAGAATTTCAGGATAGCTCAGGCATACTTTCCTTTAGGTCTGACAAAGACCCATCCCGTGTCCCGTGAGTTCGTGTCTTCGAGGGATCCCTGTATTCAGTTTCGGCTGGTGTGACCCGAAGCCCAGGCCAAGAAACGGTGTTTGGGGTGGACTTAAGGAACACAAGTTTGCTATTTATAGGCTACTTCCCAGTGGTCAGGACAACTCAAGCCGCACCGCCTGAAATGTTCACAGCACCGCAACTACAGGTTTCTGAGCTGTTCAGGTGGGCAAGTGTACAATTTGTACATCCTGAATTCCAAGACGAGTAGGTCCAAGATCCCGCAAGCTCTCAAGGAAGCAAAACGACCAGTGATACCTTGAGGCATGCTTCTTCATCGGCCTGGAGCTTAAGTAGAAGGGACTCGTGGCATGTTTCGGCAGACAAGCAAACCGGGCAATGATTGCAACACATAGTGTTTGTAGCAGCCAGCAACGGCTGCAGCCGCGATTGGCTTCTAGATGGGGTATCGAGGAATCGCTGTGGGGTTGAGGATGTTTCGGGAGAATGTACTTTGTGTCTTTGACCAAGTCATCGTCGAAACGGAGTTACTCTCGGGTTTCCATTTCAGACCTGTCGCCCATGAACTTCAAAACGTCGCCGTCGTAAACCTTGAAGACCAGGTGCCTGGACCATTGGGGTCATCGGCTTGTGGGGCCCGACGCTGTTGGATGGTTTCGTGAGGCCTGGCTCTTCTGCCTGATGAGTCAATACAAGGCATCGACATCACAGTTCGTAAGCGGCTCAGGGTCACCATCAGCAGGAGCATATCAGTAATTACTGCACAAGCAGCATGCCAATGCGTTGCTAGTATCTTGATAGATCTGATAGATAGTATTTTCAACAAGTGATAATCGTTTCATGAACGTGCCATAATCTCGCCTATACCAGCATCGGATGAAATTTGGCAGCAGCTCTGTGTAATCCACCTGAGACCAGGAGCCTACTGGAAGGAACTCAAGCCGCCCACTTTTCAATGGCACAAACCTCCTGAAGCCGCAGCCGGAAGCGAAAGCCCAGAACCTTACAAAAGCTATGAGGCAGCCCCTTTTCCAGAACGAGCTGTTGGAATCAGTAGAGTAGCCAAAGGAAGACGAACAATGTTGAGACGCTGCCGAAGCTTGAAGAACTCTTCGAAGACTCAAGCTTGCAGCTTCGGAAAGTGGTGGCCTGCACATTCAACTGTAGTAGTAGCGAGATGTCGTTCTTATCGGGCACTGTGGTCACAGGTACGAAGACTTCGAGGCGCCCACGGACCTTTACAACCAGAAGACGCTGCCTGTCAAACGAACCAGTGGTCGCAGCTGGCACTGCACAGTAACGTAGTCGCAGTGGTGCTAGCAGGTGCTTGCAGTAGTAGTGCTGCGGCAGTCGTCGTCGTTGTCCTTGTTGTTGTGGCAGTGGGAGTGGGACTAGGAGCGGGAGTAGCAGCGGCAGCAGTAGCAGTAGTAGCAGCACTGGTCACCAGTGTAGTAGTCGTCGTCGTCGTAGTAGTAGTAGTAGGAGTAGGAGCAGGAGCAGGAGCAGGAGCAGGAGCAGGAGCAGTATCAGCAGCAGCAGTAGCGGCAGTAGCAGCAGTAGCAGCAGTAGCAGCAGTAGCAGCAGTAGCAGCAGTAGCAGCAGTAGCAGCAGTAGCAGCAGTAGCAGCAGTAGCAGCAGTAGCAGCAGTAACAGCAGTAGCAGCAGCAGCAGCAGGAGCAGCAGGAGCAGCAGCAGCAGCAGCAGCAGCAGCAGGAGCAGGAGCAGGAGCAGGAGCAGGAGCAGGAGCAGGAGCAGGAGCAGGAGCAGTAGCAGTAGCAGTAGCCGCAGCAGTCTTTGTCGTAGTAGTGGAAGTAGTGGTGGTGGTAATTTCGTGGTAGTAATTATTAGTAACTACTAGCAGTCGTCGTAGTCGCAGACGTCGTAGTAGTGGCTTTAGTAGAAGTAGCATTGGTAGTGGTGATGGTAGTACGAATATTAGTATTAGAAGGAGGAGCAACAGCACCCCAATGTTTGGGACAGCTCTTTCACCAAGACATGCCACGCAGCACAAGCAAGTGCGACAGTGATAATATAGGCTCCGCATCAATAGCAGCAGCAGCAAGAGCAATAGCAACAGCATACCGGCAGCAGTAAGCAACAGTAAGCACCACCATCACAGCAGCAGTGGCATCAAGACTCAGTTTCTTCAGCAAAGTGCAGCTGTAAAACCAGTTGCAGCAGCTACATGTACAACCTCAGCGGCGGCACCAGCTGCACCCACAACTACAAGCACCCCTGAGCACATCCAGAGTGCCGGCGTCGTTTGCAACAGTTGCGTGTGTGCGGCAGCCTTCAAAAGTTTAATCCTCATAGCTACCAGTGCACTTTGACGAAGAGACTTGCAGCCATTGTTGTCATGATCATTCTGTTCACGTTTAAGAAGATAGTCATCACCACCGCCGCTGCCATGAGCATGACGATCATTGCTTGCACACGAATTGTCACACTTAGGAAAAGCAGTGGTGGCACCTGTGACGCTCTTGTGGTAGAAGGGCAAAGCTGCGCAGACCTTTATCCTAAAGCAGCCGTAAACTCGTTTGCGGCAGACGGCACACCGCCCATCAGTTTGAGGGTAATGGCTTTCACCTCCGCCGCCATATCACGCCAGGGCAGAGGAGTGCAGCAGATGATGTAGACATGTTTGCATGCGCACGCTTTGGGTGGGCTTGTAAACGGTGCAGGACCACAATCAGGAGCCCTATTCCCTCAGATCTGAGCAAAAGCCGACCGCTAAAAGCTTCCGAAGTCAGGCTATGCTGTGCCGATGGCAACATTCGTTGGTATAATGGAACAGTCAAATGGCAAAGCAGCCCCCGGCAACGCTCCAAGGTTTGCTTGGTCCTGGATCCATATCTTCCAGGTCATTGGAGCCATCTTCCTGACTCTAGGCGGACTTGACCGCAAGCGGTAAAGGACATGATTCTGATGTTTGCAGCGGCAGTAGCATGGTTGATGCTTGGAATTTTCGGCCCGTGATTACAGGGCTGTAGTAGCTGTAGTATTTGTTGTGGCTGTTTTTACACCAAAAGGCCGTTTCCGCCTGGCAGAGCTGTTTTGCCGCCGAAGTGTTCAGATCTTGAACTCGCTGAGGGCTACGTCGGACCCCATTTAGGTTTTCCGTAGGTCTCCTTATGATGATTGCACTCTCATATTCCCCGAGTTCCTTCTCTGGTTATTGAGGCTATGTGTTAAGCGGATCGAACGAACGGATGTAGAGGCGGCATCATTTTCGGTATGATGGACAACATCTTCTTCATGGGCCCGAACAGCCGGGGGCTGGAGGAGCCAAGAGGGCTGCGACAAAGAAACAGGAAACTAGGTGCAAATTGAGATGCTGATACTGCAGGTATAGGCGCTGGCCGCTTTTTCGTGCTCTCATGGCATCAGACTTGCAGTTAGTGTAAGTGCAAGACATCAACCTCTCGGCAACAGAAGCTTCACAGCCACATTTCCAAGCATGAACAGTGCTGAGTCGGAGTCTCGGTAAGAAACGTCGATCAGTGCGTTGAAAGCATTTGGAATCTTCAAGGTGAGTGAACGGTACGACCAGCAAACGCAGGAAAGCGATGACGACCTCGAGAGCAGCGACAATTGTGCCTGAACCTTGATTGCAGAAGCATGAGCCAAGAGTTTAAATTGGGGTCCTGTACAATGAAGGGTCAGAGGTCGACTGCAGTGACACATTGGGTCTTCGCATCTCAGTCACGTGAGGTCGGAGTCCGCATCTCGTAACCACGCCCCGGATCAGACAACAGCGAGAGGGTAAGCTGAGGCGGTCTAGAACGCTTAGTGTATTCTTTTCAAGAATCCGGCTTTCCCTCCAACACAGGAGCTTTCCTTTACCTACAACCGGCTAGAGCTCCGCAAGCTGAAAGCAGAGACCTTTGCGCAAACCAAGGAATTCAAGCAACTACCCTCCTGCTGAAGCACACAGCTTTGCATGGGAGGGTGATGAGTGTCAAGGGAGCGCCCATGCCTGCCGCGGCTGCTGAAAACGAAAGACTTTGGATAGCTTGGTTGTTTCATTGACAAGTACATCATAATATCATATGTTTGAAGAGAGTATAACAGAGTTGAATGACACGACAAACATAGGGCAGTGTAACATATGTTGCCAAGTGGCAGGTTTTTGACCTCCCGTTGATCTCATCATGGGAGCCACAAGAGCGGCAACCACTTTTAAGATCACAACAGCGCCTGGTTCTCACGAAACACTCCTAGGAACACTTTCGATCTTGGGAGTGTCTCAAAGAATCCTCAGGCACGGAATAATTATCAGTATAAGATGATAGCATGTTACACTGTCGTACTCCCTTTTTCAGCTAGAGTGATGTAATAAAGTCAAGTATAGTATGATATGTATCATGTCAAAGAGGAGGTTTAAAAGTTATTATGATGCAACAGAAAATAACATAACACAAATAGCAAACTATACTAACATGTACTGTAGCTACAACATATACTGTGCCCAGTTACTTTGTAACATGTTCGTTCTAGTATGGCATAGAACGGAGTGGACTTCGTTGAAGTGGAAGTAGAGCTACAAGTAGAACTAGAACCAGTAGTAGCACTATAGTACTAGTCGTAGTAGTCGTAGTGGCAGTGGCAGGGACAGTGGTAGTGCTACTAGTCCTTGCAGTAGTAGTAGTCGTCCTAGTAGTAGTCGTCGTCGTGGTGGTGGTGGTAGTAGTAGTAGTGGTTGTGGTTGTGGTTGTGGTTGTGGTTGTGGTAGCGGTAGCGGTAGCGGTAGCGGTAGCGGTAGCGGTAGCAGCAGTCTTCTAGTAGTAGCAGGAGCAGCAGCAGTAGCAGCAGCACTAGTAGCAGTCGGAGCAGCAGCAACAGTTCAGTTGCAAGGTCAATAGCAGCTGGTAGCAGTAGCAGTAGCAGTAGCAGTAGCAGCAGTAGTAGTAGTAGTAGTAGGAGGAGGAGTAGGAGTAGTAGTAGTAGTAGTAGAAGTACTAGTAGTAGTAGTAGTAGTAGTAGTAGTAGGAGTAGCAGTAGCAGTAGCAGTAGCAGTAGCAGTAGCAGTAGCAGTAGCAGCAGCAGTAGCAGTAGCAGTAGCAGTAGCAGTAGCAGTAGCAGTAGCAGTAGCAGTAGCAGTAGCAGTAGCAGTAGCAGTAGCAGTAGCAGTAGCAGTAGCATAGCAGTAGCAGTAGCAGTAGCAGTAGCAGTAGCAGTAGCAGTAGCAGTAGCAGTAGCAGTAGCAGTAGCAGTAGCAGTAGTAGTAGTAGTAGTAGTAGTAGTAGTAGTAGTAGTAGTGGTACTGCTACTACTAGTAGCAGCAGCAGCAGGAGTAGTAGTGGTGGTGGTGGTGATCGTGGTGGTGGTGGTCGTCGTCGTCGTCGTAGTAGCATAAGCAGCTTAGTAACCGTAGTAGTAGCAGTAGTGGTAGTCGTGTAGTAGTGGTGGTGGTGGTGGTGGTGGTAGTAGTAGTAGCAGTGTTGGTAATGGTGGTTGTAACCATGGTTAAAAAATATATGTATATATGTATACATATATATATACATGTGTATATATAACATCCCTGCGCTGATTAAAGCTTGCAGATCATTCTATTGAGAACTGGGCTAGGGAGCCGTCCGAGCTTCAATTCCTGAGGTCCTAAATAGCCCCAGTGACGGCTCCCGGGATTGGCGCAGTCGTTTTGCCCAGTGGGCTTGCAGGGCCTCCCTACAAGGAGCCACCGGCATTCCAGTCCATTGGGTTTCTGGTACGTGTCCCCCAGCATCACGAGAAGTGTCAGAAGCTTCTAGTTTGGCCTTTGTCCGTGCAGCAGCAAGGCACCCATGCATCAGACACTAGGTATTGTCGTCCACCACAGTCTTCGGTGCTCCTTCAATAAGACGTGAGCCGGTTACAACGGCTGCAGCAGATCTGCACGCAGCCAATTCTGTTGCCCTTGTTTTCCAACACCTCCGGTGAGCGTCGCGAAAGGCCTAAACTATAACACTAAACCATCTCTGGATGCCAGAAACATTGCCCCTAAACCACAAAGCACTGGGGACTCTACTTTCCACGTGAACCCAAAATGTTCTGTGTTTTACAGGAATGATAGTCACCATCCCATATCAGAAACCACAACAACTCAGCCTGTATGGTGGGCTCACGCAAGCGAAACCAAAAGTGCAGCCTGCAGCCTAAGCTTCGGGTCTTAGGGATTTTCGAAGCTATGGAATCTTAAGCGTCATGATGGCATCACCTCTAGATTGTAGCAACTGTAGCGCTTTCCACGCCCATCAGAAATTCAGAAACTCACAGCAGAGAAGTCGAAGCAAATCGAACCCGCACCAGGTGGCAAGGTGGTCGCAGCTGCCGCTTCGGGAGGTGCAGCGTGAGTGCCGCGGGCACAGCTTCAGGGAATCGTTTTGCAAAGGGGGCTGGAGCGAGGCTGGAACGCTTCGTAATGGCAGGCAATCGCACATTTCGTAATCCCGCCCCCCATTCGGCCATGGCGGGTGATCGCAGAATACAGTGACGACATACACACCTACATACATACATACATACATACACATACACATACACATACACACACAAATGTATATATATATATACATACACATACATATATATATATATATAGGTATGCACAGAGATGCTGGGAACTGGGCCTTCCCCGGATCCCGGGTCTGGACCGCTCCGCAAGAAGACGATATCCCCGAGGCCGCGACAGTGACATTTCCACCGGGGGTGTGAGCGCCAAGCTGAGCCTCAAGCTCAGGTGTGTTCCAGGTTTTACAGGGTGGAACCTAGTTCAGGTAGGTAATTGCGGACGCCTTGAAACCGTCCTGTGCGTTGATTAGTCGGGTTTTGCTGTGTCACTGGCTTTTTCTTTGTCGCCCAAACTTCTCCAAGATTGCAAGAGGCTTTGCCCCTTTAGACAGACCCTTGGCCCGTCATTTGGCTTCCTGTAGCGGCAGGAATCACCAGGCGCCGAACCCTGAGGGCCTTGGATTTAGGGTTTTGCGTTTGATTCCCCTTCGCGCCAGCGCTCTGGAGGGTCGCTTGGGCTTACACCATGGCAGAAACAGAAGTCGCAGCACAACTTCGACTATCACTGCTATTGTCACTCTCACACCCTGAACAGGTTGTCGCGATCACAGCAGCCACGTTTCCGATGATGTTTGTAATTCGTTGGCATTGCTGGGATAGCTAGCTCTGACATTTTCCTGTGAGCTTCAAGAACTGGAGCGAGAGGGGCCCTATGCGCGACCCTAAGATGTGGGGTTCTTATTGAAACAACGCCCATATTATAAGAGACCCCTGGTTTCAAGAACCCTTTCTTCGAAGACATGCCATGGATCTGCCGCCTCCTGCCGTGCCCACAGATGCCGATGCAGCGACTGGTACGCAGAAGGGTTCTGTTTTGGGAGCCGTTTGTCTAGGAATGTCGTGCAGGGTTTAGGACAATGCTTTGGATTTCGCAGGATGTGTACAGTAATTACTGTGGGATTGTCTTGAATGTGTACGTGTGTCTTGATAGCTTTGCCATTCTCACACATGCTTCTCGAAGCCTAGCCCGACAAAGGCTCGAAGCTATCGGCTGGGCATCTGTGAAACTTCCACACAAAGGATGTCACGACGCCACACGTCTGAGGTGGCGTCTCTGGAGAGAGGCTTTCAGAGCTTCAAGCGCAGGCTTGCGAGCTTCGCGTTCACCACAGATTCTAGCTGCTGGGTGGCTGATTGGCTAAACCCGAGAAAGGTTCAGACATGACTGAAGTGTGGGCTGCTGTGGTTTTTGCAATCCAGATGATGGCAACACTTCGCTCACGATTTTGCAGCAACCTGCGCCAGAACCAGCTTGCAGAGGCACACGAAAGCTGAATAGCTTCGTCTCGCAGATCACCACTGACATCATGAGCTCCCCCACTCATGCAGGCCCAGCAGGTCACGAAGCCCGGCCAAGAGGCCAGATGTTTGGGGTTTGTGCCAGGGTCGGGCTTGTGGCCGCAGGGCATCCTCAGCTTAAGGCCGTCCTGTTAAAGTATGTATTCAAAAGTTGTCGGACTCCGGGTGCTGCCACAGACTGCCGGACTGCCTTCACACCCTCACTCAGCGTATGTGAGTCCAGAAGTAATCTGCAAGCTTCTCCCAGATGCACAGAGCAACCAAACACTCCCTCGACTCGGCTTGGACACATCTTCACACACGACGGGTCAATGGCAGCAAAGCAACGAAGCGCTGCTGCATTCGAGCCGCAGGAAAGAGCCCGCTGTTTGGCCAGAGGCGGTGCCGGACTTCTACGAGGTTCGGCAGCTGAAATGTAACGCTTTTTAAGTTGTCGCGTGTTGCGTTCAGACTATCTTGCCCCATGCATTTTCCACATGCCATCAAGGCCATGCAAGCATCCACCCCACGCCCCGAAGATTCAGGAAGGGCATCTAATGTCCCTGAATCTGAATCTATGAACCTGCGCTTCTGTCGGGCAGGATGCTGTGGGCTTAATCGGTGTGAAGGACAACCACGGTGCACTGCTCGAAGAGGCCAGCTGCTTTGGATATCAAGTTGGATGGTCGTCAAAATTATGGTCCCTTTTGGGTCCCTATTATAGTACGGCACCGATTATTTGGGGTACCCAACAAGGGGCCATAATTTTGACAACCACCCAGTTGAGGAATGTCAGGTACTCGCTGTTCTAGATTCTAGATGTTTCGAAAGGCCCACACTAGGCCAAACTCTATGAGGTTGCAATGCATCGCACATTTATGCTGCGGAGACCTCGTCCTGAACTGCCGGATCTTACCCAGTGCAGACGGTATATCCTCAACGACCCATGGCGGAGCCTCGGCCGATTCCGAGCCTTCTTCCATCGCCTTTGGGGAGGCTTTCCCGGTAGACGTCGTGCCCCTGCCGCGGCGGTCGCTGGTCTGAATGGGAGCGGCCGCCTGCAGATATTGCAAGCGGTATACTTACGACCTGTCTCAATCGGGTGGCTACATACAGGCAAGTACGTCCTTCACCGTTACGCAAACCTGCTAAGATCGCTTCACGGCGCAGCTTCGTTGCGACGTCGGCGGTTTCGCCATTGGGCGGCGCACGAGGCTGCGAGTTCAGAATCAGTGATATCGGGTTGCTCGACATGAAAGTTCCCGTCTCTCTGTGGGTGTGGGTGTTTGGTAGCAGTCGAGGTATACTTTGCCACTGTGCGCTATAAGTTTATTGAGTTGAATGTCTCAATCCCAGCCAACAAGGGTCAAATTGAGAAAAGCTCTGAGCTGGCCTACATAGAGTGTTTAGACGGTGCACTGAGGTCTTGTCTAAGGCCGGAGGTGGTAAAGTACTGTACTCCGAGATTGTTCGACTTCCCATCGGTGCATGCGTGCATGTTGCAAGAATTGGAGAGAATGTGGGCCGGGGTGAAAATCAGGTGCTTCAGATTGACTGGTGAAGCCAGCCTAACATGGGGTTGCCCTTGAACCCATTGACCAGATGCTGTAAGGCTAGCCCCGCTAACCTAGAAACCCTGACAGATTGCGCAGCTCCAGCCAGCTTTTTTCAAAGTTGGAGGCAAGTTGGAGGCACCAATCGCTGAAACACCCCAAGGCGGTGTAATGTCTGAATGTCCTGAACAGCCCGGAGCCCCTTACAAACCGTGCAGGCGTACAAAACAAGGCCTAGAGGACCAAAAGCTTTTTTTTGAGTCTAGAGCCATGCCATGAAGATCTTCTGGCTCTTTGCTGTTCCAGAGACGGCAGACACCGGGCCGGTTACTGTTCTCGGTGTTTGGAAGAAACAAATGTCCAAAGTGACCCTCTGCACCGCCACATCTTTCCCGACTTCTCAAACCCCACTGCCCTGGACTTTCCGCTGGCCCTTTCACCGTGCCAGGCCGACGATGCGCCGCCAAGACGCCGCTTCTTCCGCAAGGTTGCCAAAAGGCCCGAGCAGGCACAGCGCCACAAGTTTTGCAACACAAAGAAATCGGGTTGGTGCTGCATTGGAGTTATCGAAGATCGGAGTAGTGGGCTTTGCCGCATTTGCGTTGAGCTGGGAATTGAATTGGGCGGATACATCGTTGTTGTCGTAGGTCCAAAGGACATGGTCGTGGGATTACAAAAGCAACGGAAAGGGTGCGAAAGGGCTTTGTAAGGGGGCTGAGTTTAGGAGGCCTTCCCAAAGGGCGAAATGAATTTTCAGGTTCACAATGCTTTCGAATTGGGTTACAGGACATCGTAACGACCGATGTCCAGGACCATCCAGGACCCAATTGCTCAAGTGCCTCTGCTCCTAATTACCTCAATCTACCTACCTACCAGCTGTTTCTGTTTCCATTTGTAGACCCGAAACCCTGGTCGCGGATCAGAGCAAGAGCCCAGACCTGCGAAGCTAGCAAGCATGTCGGCTTTCGGGGCTGGGTTTCGTCCCCCTCGACGCGAGATTTACGAGCTTCCAGACTCGAGGAAGAACTTGGGTACGAGAGGTAAACCCAAAATGGAATGCAATGAGCTTCGTCGCCCAAAGTTGTCCGAAGTATCATCTCGGCCCTGAATCAGGAAGATTTGTTCGAACTTGTGTCGATTACTCTGTTGGGGTGAGCGTGTTCTTAGGATGGGTGCCCATATTGGAGACCGCATGTCGAAGTAAATTAATATGCATACGGGAGTAGCTTCTTCTGGGAGACCTCTTTATCGTGGAACTGTCATACTTCGTTTTGCATCAGGAAGCCCTTTCCGAAACGTCCTGCAAGATGAACTTGTTCACATCATCTGTCTGTGATGCTAGTCGACATGCGCGCGACTTTTGGCCGAACCTCCGTACTGAGTCTGGCAAGCCTCTGCCTCTCGTGACAGGAGTTTGTCACATCGCCAGATGCTTGGCAGGTCGGACCGGATGGCATACCATGTCCATGAAGCCAGAGGAGCGGACCCCCGAAGACTAGCAAAGGCAGAGACAGGAGAGAGGCAACTTTGCAATTCCACAGGCTAGCTTTTGTGCAAAGTAAGTCTCTGTACGGACCCGCTCAAATAAAACACAACAAACACCAACGAGCCAGCCAAGATCTTGGCTGCGGCACGAGGAGTGTCGCGTCGTTTGGCAGGCTGCGGCCGCCGCAGCTGCACACCTTTCAACCTTCCAGGTTGGGGCCCAGCAGCATCCAGGAATCCGTTACCACCATTCTCTCCGTGTTGTCCATGCATGAATCCCTTTTGATAACTAGCAGCAACTAACAGCAATTGGCTGGGTTCGATTTTGCCATCTTACACCAGTCACTCCTTGGTGATCCTGGAGTTTCGAGAGATCCGAAAAGCCTCCCGAGTCTGAAGATGAGAAAGATGAGGAGAGACGACGAGGTGCTCCTGAAAAAACACGGACTCATTGTGATGTTGTTGAAAGTCGCTGCCATAATTGTCATGTCGTGACTGTGATGAGAAAGAACGACGATGGTTCTGCTGATGATGGTGACGGTAGTGAGGCGAGGTTGAATCGCTAATAACGATGACGACGGTACTGCCCATGACGGTGATTCTGATCATGAGGATTGCGAGGCTGGTCATGATGATCGCGAGAATGATGTTAAGTTGTTGGTTGCCGTAAGTGAGGGTTACCATGGCATTGCCTCATCCTGTTACCCTAGCATACCCACCTGCTTATCTACCTACCAATCACCTGCCGCTCGATAGCGATCAAAAGCCCAGACGGGCGCAAAGTTGTTTCGTGCTGCCTCCAGGATTTCAGACGCCGCCTCACGTAGAGGTGTCGTTTTTATCCATGACCCCTCCCCGGCCCCTGGCAACTCCGAAACCTGAAATGGTCGACTCACGCCGAGGCAGAGTTGCCAGAGCCGAGCTCTCAGTGCTGTCACTTGTGCGCCCGTGCTTCGCTCTACAGTAAAAGCCAGAAAGTTGGAATATCATTATCCTAAACCCTTTATGGTAAATTATAGGGTATCCTACCCTGAAACCATATTCCAACTTTCTGGAGTTCGCTTTAACGATAGAATCCGATAGAAGTTACGATGAGAACAGCCCAGATGAGCTATTGTCTGCAGCAGTGAGGGGAGATTGAGCTTGCGATGTTGTTGCGAACGGTGGTTTAGACCATGTCACAGATGAGGAGGGAGGTGCAGAAGAGGAGGAGAAAGAGGAGGTCAATATTCTGACGACGAAGACGCAGCTATCTATAAGAGCATCACTACTACTTGTACAACCACACCCGCAACATCACAACCAACCAGCAACAATAAAGACGATGATTCCACCAACAACAACTGCCAGCGCCACCAACACCAAAGCCAGCGTGACCAGGGCCATTACCAACACTTTAGAAAAAAGCAGAAGCAGCAGCAGAAGCACCAGCAGCACCGTTTCAACCACCACTAGCACCACCAGCACCACCAGTACTGCTTCAGATGACGTTTGATTTGAGGCCGGACTTCTTGCCAATCATGCCGACACCGGCGCAGCGACCCAGCCGCAAACTGTGGTGCCAAGGCTCCTAATTAGAGGAAGGTATCTTCTTCTACCATCATGTGGAACAAGCACCGGGAAATAATGAGCACCAAGAACAACACTTCTGCCGAGATCCGTGCTAGCTCGAACTGCTAGTAAAATGCATAAAACCAGTGGTCAAGTTGCGAAGAAGATCACACCATCACACTTCCAATCCAAGCCAGTGGCAGACTGGCGGAGAGCGGACAACCTCACATCGTACTCGCCCTCGCAAGTGCTGCCCAGGGACCAGGCGAACCTGGCACTAACGGAACCGTCCACTGCTGACTATGGCTCAAGCTCTTTGTTTTTCCGGAAGGGGTGCGCGAGATGAACATCAAGTTTATTGGCGCGAAACCCGCCGAGAAGACTGCGGACCGCCCAGTTGCCAACGAACTTTGAGTAGGAAAGCTGTTTGAGCGAAATAGATCTCAGAGCATTGCTTTCCACATGGGCCTAAACTCCTATGTTGCGATGTCCTTCACGGCGCTCACGAAGCTTTCCTTCGGCATTCGGAAGGCATAGGAATCCCTGGTTCGTGGCATCATGGATCCTTTGTGGAAGCTATTCGGATGAGCTGGCGCCCGCTTTCAAAGCCATGCTACTGCCGGCTTCTCGGGGTAACTTTGACCTCATGTCGCCACCATGCACTCCAGGAGTCCGTGCAGAGGAGAACTGGTACTGTATGTCTTCCGGATGTTCGTCCCGCGCAGATGGGCTTCGTCGCCAATGCGAGGCAGAGGAAAGCCGAGCGAAGATGGAGGAAAAGAGTATAGGAAGAGTTCTCGAAGGTCAGCATGGGTGATGCACTTGCTTGCGATGCATTCGTTGGGGTCTTCAATGGCGAGCTTCACCCGTACCTTGGTACGTTGAACTTGGGCCTGTCTTTGCACAGCATCGACCTTGTGTTTGATGATCGCCATATGTGTGATCCCCTTCTTCTTGCAATGCTCTCAGGAGCCCAAGAAGGTCTCCCGTCCATCGCTGATGAGAGAGGTCACGATCTCCGACTCCATCCCGAGGTCCCTTGCGATTCTCGGCGTGGTCCGGAACCGGTACTTCCGTGCTCGCGGCTCTAGCACTAGTCTTGGTGTTGATCTGGCCGTGAAGGTCTTTGCTACGACCGGATAGGGTGATGCGTTCAAGCCAGCAACCAGGTCTTTGGCTCCTTCCAGCCAAACCTGTCCGGGCCCCGCAACTATCTCGCCGATACGCCCAGCTTCCACTGCTGGCAGATGCGGCAGCTTGATCGTACGTTCTTGCCTGCGGTGCCTGGATGCTGCATGCTTGGTCTTCCTGCGATTCCTTTGATTTCAACCCAGAGAGCCGATGCCCTGAGCTCAAGAAACAGTGGAGCTCCAAACTGGATTCCTAGAACAGCTACACTAGCGTTGGTTATCGATATCCTTTCTTGTTTTTGCCGTAGGCATTTGCTGTGCTGCTGGGCTCGCAGCGCTGCAGCCACGGGCTTGGATCAAAGCTCGGCCGCGTCAGGTCAGATCCCTTCGGATCGGATGCCGCGGCCATGATTGTCGGAGAGGTCAGCGCGATTTTTGTGTTTCGCTTGTCGCAGCCCTGCACGAACTGACGAGATCCAGAGGCTGCTTGCAGACGTGCAGGCGAAAGACATTCACGTCGCCAAGATTCAGGGCGAGATCAAATCAATCCAAAGCCGGCGATTCGATGATTCGAGAACCTGCGACTTTTGTGTTGGAAGCACAAGGCCTGCAGAAGGAGGTGCGAGGATGGAAGCACGGCGCTCATCAGTATCAGCGCCGTGCTTCCCTCCTCGCACCTTCTTGATTGAGGACCTGTCAGGCTGAGACTGTCATTCGGCAAGATGCCCTAGCCCCCAAGTCAAGCGCCCTGGCCTGTCGGCAGGGTCAGCTTTCGACTATCTCCCGGCCTTTTAGGGCTGTTTGCAGGTTGCCCGGCAAACTGTGTCTATTCGCCGCTGCCCTGTGTTCAAGTTCTGACCCCAAGTCAGGTGAACGCTGGATAAAAAAAGAGTTACAAACAAGCTTACAGCATCCCCACTGGCCAGAGACGAACTTATTCCTTGCGAATTTACTACCGATATTTCAATTGAATTGCGATTGAAGCCATCCGCGACCAAGCTGTTTCGATTGCTTTAACCCATGTCAATACATGCACAGCATCGAGGCTTTCGATTGCAAGACAATTCTGAACCCTCACAAGAGATGAACCGACGAACCCTTTTCTGCGTCATCCGAGTTGTGGGAGTTTGAATCCGCACATGATGCTGCCTCGCTCACCGCGAGGCCTTCGATACCTTGCTTGGTTGCGCATGTACTGAGGCTACGTGCGCCTAGCTGGGGAACCGCTTGCAGAAATGCAGTCGCCTCAGGATTTATACTGACATGTTTGCAAGACTTGGTGGCTGGAAAGCTTGAATAGAAGCATTCCACTTGTCTCAATTTCGCCCAACTTGTGCACAATGCAGCCGCTGAATGCTGACTCAAGACCCTTTGGGGAATAGGCAGGGCAGTCTATGTTACGGACTGTGAACATTTCCTGTAGAGCCTTGGCTTTGAACTGGAGGCGTAGGTACTGCCACAAACTTACACCAGAAGCTTGCGTCATGTGGCCAGCAGTGCTACGGCACAGTACCTCTTGTTATGACTCTTGTTCATTGCTTGCAATGGCTGTTGCAGATCATTGTGGAACTGTAGGCTTGGATGCAGCTCTTCGCAAGCGGTACAACGCCCAGAGGGCCAACAAACAATCGGCACGACAGCCTTCCTCAGACCTAAACCACGGCCTAGACCTCGGCCTCAGAAGAAAGAGCCCTGCAACCCGCAATGGATGCCGAGGCCGTGAACGGCTGCATAGGCTCCGATTCCCCCCCCCCCCCCCAAGCCTCGGACTGAGGCGCGCCTTGCGGCCCTCCGAGAGCGCTGCCAGAAGTCGGAAGGCTCGACTGATCATTGTGGGACGTTGCGGATGTTTTACGTTTAGCGGCTAAGCGATTTGAGTATTTCGGGGTTATGGCTTCAGGTTTGGCTTGATGAAATGGAGGTTTAGCATTGCTAGTTAGGATATGTTCTTCTCTTGGGCATGTCGCGTCTAGGGTTTTGCACTTCACTGCGTTGCAAGAACGGGCAGTGCCTGTGCAGTTTTGCATGGGGGTCATTTTTGAGGGTGTGAGCGTGCTGCTGCAGAGGTGATGCAACGGCCTGGCTTGACTTCGCGGAGTTCCAGTGGTCGCAGCGGGGGGACCCAGACTCAAGACCTTGATTTTGTGTTTTGTGGTTTTGTTGTCTCTCTCTCTCTCTCTCTCCCCCGTTTGTTTCCGATTGTTTCCTCGTTCTGTTTTGCTGTCAGTTCTTTCTCTCTCTGTAGAGACATCTTTGTCTAGCGATGTGGCCCTGAGTTCCAGCGTGCCTTTGCACTGCCACGGCCTACCTATTTTCAGTGAGTTCGATAAATTTTATTCGTGGTACACCCCAGTTTCGTCCGGCAGGGTGGGCGAAGAGTTATCGGCTCCTCCTCGCCAGGCTCTGCGTCTTGAAAGACATGCAGCTTGAGAGTTTCAGTTGGGTCCAGACTTTCCGAATCAGCATTAGGCTGGAGGGCCATTCAGGAGCCTTGTCCACCAAGTTCAGAGAGCAGGCAGCATTCGCTACACTCCGTTATAAAATACATTGCCAACGCCAATAATATAGGAACTTCTGTGGAGGTCAGAGAGAAGCAGCGGGCAGTGCTTGAGGCTGCCCTGACGAAGCAGCCACTCGGTGACTTCAGTGGGCTTATGAGACACCAATGGCTGCTAGGGTCCAGGGTTTCGGATAAACTTAGACTACTAAGACCTTTCTCCTTTGTAGAGATATTGCCTCAACAATTTAGGTTTAGGTTGCTTCAGATGGGCTTGGACAGTTTCTGCAGGCTTATCACATCTTCTCACGAGGTGTCTACAGCGGGTTCCAGGCCATAGGGCGTATAAACTTCAGTCAGAAACAATGTGCAGGAGCCGCCGGGGTCGTTGCAGCAAGTTGGCGTAGCTTCTGGGGCATTCGCAGTTCCGGCCAAGCGAGATAATCAAGCAAGTTCAAAGCCCGACGCTCTCGTGCTTAAACATCTTACCCTGTGATGGTTCGGAAGGGCGTTTCCTGGTCTCATCTGACCCTGGCAGCCTCGAAAGAGCGGCGGCTAGACAAAGACAATGTCGTGTGCGTCTGTCTGTCTGTCTGTCTGTCTGTCTGTCTGCCTGTCTGTCTGTCTGTGGCGTGCGTTTGTGTGTGTGTGTGTGTGTGTGTGTGTGCGTGCGTGCGTTCGTTCGTGTGTGTCGGTATACCTTAATGCGGCCCCGTAGCTCGCAAGTGTACTGGCCTCGGGCATTCGTACTTGCAGCTTAGTTTTTGTTTCGAGTTCCGAGCTGGACTGTCATGGTTGTATCGGGTACTGGACACAGCCTTTTCTGCTGTACTCGAAAGATTGGTGTACATCACAGGGTATGGTTTCCGAGCTTTTCTCGCCTGTGCAGAGGCTTCGAAGATTCTGTGTTCTGCCATGTTCAAAAGGCTCTCCAACCAGGTCACAGGGATACGGGGATGGTGGAAGCACAGGCACGGGACATGCAGTGATGTCAGCCTTGGCAGCCTTGCGCCCAAACCAAGGCCTGGAGCTCCAGACGTGAGGCTTTGGGGAGCTTTGGCTTTGGGGAGGGATCTTATTAGTGTGGGGCCCCGAGCCAGCTTTGTCTATAGCTTTCATCCAAAACGGAAGAAGCGTGTCTACACAGGGGTTCCTGTAGAACTGTTTATGCCGCCCGTGAGTTTTCACGGTCACACAGCGTTCACTCGGTTCTGACATTTAAGTGTAAACCTGAAGAGATGGCTGCGAGAGACTCTTTACCTCGCACCGGGTTCTGGAAGCGGAGCATTACCGACTTTGCGTGCGTGCTCCCAAAACCCCGATACTTCAACACACCATGTTGACGCATGAGTGTTTTTTCCTCGGGACTTCTCCTGTCACGACGACGCTTCCGCCCCAATGAGCCGCCTGACAGCAGCTTCTGACAAGGCTGATTCGTGCCCTGGCAGCTGCGGTACCCTGGCTGCAAGAAAGATGTCAGGTCCGAATTTTTGTCATCATGGAGACTAGATGCAAACAAGTCCTTCATAAACAACTGGCTAAGACGACTCTTTGTGGAGAGAGAGAGACCGACAAACAGGCAGGATGACGACTGGCATAAACAGCACTGTCGCCCTCCTCGCTTTCCACAGCAGCTCACCCTTGGCGCAACTGCTCTAGACCCAAGGCCCCGGGAGTCATCAACCGAATCCGGAGTCGTCATTGTCATCCCTGCTTAAGCAATCTAACCTCGTCTCGAGTGACTCCGGACGGTTTGCATGTGTGTGTGTGTGTGTGCGCGTGTGTGTGTGTGTGTGTGTGTGTGTGTGTGTGTGTGTGTGTGTGTGTGTGTGTGTGTGTGTGTTTCGTTGTTCAGAGTCAACAGCGCACGAATCTGCGGTGTGAGCACATATTTTCTCGGGGGATGTGCTAAGGGAGGAAACCTGGAGCTTGCAAAATCTGAGGAGCCACTGGTGGATCTGCTACCTTAATTAAACAAGAAGAAACTATGTGTATCACTTATCACTTATCATCAGGCGGCTTCAGGAACAGCCCAACCTTACCTTGATGTCCAACCCGCTTAGCCTCAAGGAGGCGGACGGAGCAGCTGCCTTGCCTGTGCAGGCAGAGAGCCCCTGGCAAATCCTGGCACTTGAATTCTGCTGGTTAGGGCCGAACTGAAGTGCCACTATGTTCACTTGCAAAGCAATGGAATCGAGAGGCTTGCGGGTTGGGGCTTTTGGCGTGGACCGTCATGATTTTGTTATAGGATGTTCACGGAACTCTCCCAGGTTGCTGGGAGCGTTTCAGAACAAGTGCAGCCTGCAAAAAACAGTGCAAGCTATCCTCAGGCCTGATGCCCGCAGCGCCACGGGCCCCAAGCCTCTGCTGAAAAGCACCCAAATCCTACAATCTCTAAAGCCTCAAGCCAGTACTCTCTATCCCATTTTGGGCCACAGCCGCTACCCCAACGAAGGATCTCCTGGCAGCCCGGCGCCAACGCCTTCTTCAGTGCAGCCATGCATGGTGACTCAAAGTACAGGTGAATTCGGGCCTTTAGAGTTCAGGGGCCCGCGAGGACGAGGATTATGAAGCAAGAGCCCCAAGGCTGGCGCGATACATGGATAAACGGTTGCTTCTTTCGAAAGCCTTGGCGGTCTGGGCGGTGAATGTCTGGAGAGTTCGCGAGGCGTGGACTCAGGCTCATGACCAGGACAGTTGTGGATGCGCGTCATATGAGCGACTACGTTCCTCTCTCTGCCGGGCTACAGTCCAAGGAGATAATGACCGAGCACCGAGACCCCGTGATTGCTTCAAACGATCGCTGCAGTGAGTGAAGTCCGATACCGAGCTCACATCCAAGCCGTGAGCCCTGGAGGGTGAAGCGTGAACGCTGAATCATCACCGGGCGAAAACGGTCAGCCACACCTTAGACCCAGTGCAATCGTCCAAGGCTGAAGTTGCCGAGGAGCTGGTGCGGCTTGGCCTTCTCGGGCTTGCTGTCACACTAAGTAGTCCCCAGCAAATGTCAGTGCAATGATTGGCTGTTGCTGCCAGTGCTGATGCTGCCACCGCGGCTGGGATCACGACTAATTACTGCTACTGTACGACCACTACGATTACGACTCATCCTCCTGCTCCTGCTCCTGCTGTTGATGCTACAGCCACTGCTACTCCTACAGTACTACTACTACTACTACTACTACTACTACTACTACTACTACTACTACTACTACTACTACTACTACTACTACTCCTACTACTACTCCTACTGCTACTACTGCTACTGCTACTGCTACTGCAACTGCCACTGCCACTGCCACTGCCACTGCTACTCTGCTGCTGTTACTGCTGCTACTGCTGCTACTGCTACTACTGCTACTACTAGCTACTGCTCCTGCTCCTGCTCCTGCTCCTGCTACTGCTACTGCTACTGCTACTGCTACTGCTACTACTCCTGCTGCTGCTACTGCACCACCACCACCACCACCACCACCACCACCACGACAACTACCATTACCACCACCCACCACGACTACCCCTTCTGCTCCTGCCTGCTCCTGCGCCTGTTGCTGCTGCTCCACGACGAGGACGACGATTATTATATTCATGATTTGTAATGTTATTATTACTACTACTACTACCACTACTACTACTACTACTACTACTACTACTACTACTACTACTACTACTACTACTACTACTACTACTACTACTACTACTACTACTACTACTACTACTACTACTACTACTACTACTACTACTACTACTACTCTACTGCTACTGCTACTGCTACTGCTACTGCTACTGCTACTCCTACTGCTACTGCTACTGCTACTACTACTGCTACTACTGCTGCTACTGCTACTATTATTATTATTGTTACTATTAATATTTTATTATTGTTATTATTATTATTATTACTACTACTCCTGCTAGTACTACGACGACGGCTAGGACTTCGACTTCACAACGACGCCGACTACGACTACTACTGTTAGTGTTCGCACTATTTGTGATGATTTAAACTCTATACAGTGGAAACCATTCTCAACAACGCCGTTTGACGCCTTGGTGAGCTGCCAGATCCTGCGGCCGTGCCATATGTTGAGATGTCGCTTGCTTCCTTTCGTACTGGGTGTCGGCTGAGGTGGGGTTTCCTGGAGGCCTGCATGATGGGCGGCGCTGGCGGCAAGGAGACTGTCGGACTCTCCAGTGACAGTTCAAGCACCTCCAGCCTCCTGATTTCTCACACCCCGGGATGGTTCAGCTGCGTGTTGGCTTCAGGCTCTGGGATCTTCAGGCCTAACAACCCTACCACCACCCAGTACCACCAGCCAGATGCGGGCAATTACGTGGCTTCAAGCGAGCATCACATTAGAGCTTCAATCTCAATTTCATGATAGACTGGAAGACTCCGCTCGACATCATGTCTCTTACCTCCGCGGACATGTAGTCAGCAGCGCAGTCGTCGTCATTGTCGTTCTAGTTTGACGGTTGATGCGCAAAACCCTTGGAGGACTTCTCCCTCTTGGAGGGTGCTCCAGTGTTGCGGGGTGCTCCGACGCCAGAGCGCATGCCGGCGCCGGTGGAGACCGTGAGGAACCCCACGGGCATGTTCATGATTTTTTAGTGGTGTCAGGGAGTACGGTTTCAGATCTGGGGGGGTTTTAGATCGATCTCCCTTTAGAAGGCCGGGCTTCAACAGGTTCGGTATGTTAATCGTGTTGTAACAACAAAAAACTGGAGAAGTCCGTCGTTTTGGACCATGAAGTTCTTGCCGGGCTCAGGAACCGTATTGATTGCTGTCGTAGAGACTGATGACACTTCTGCATCCGCCGCTGCAACTGCTACTGTGCCTACCACCAGCAACACCACCATCACTTGGACTACCACTCTACCGTACCAGGCCTCAGAGCGTGGTCGATTGTGGAGGGGTGTGTGGGTTGCTGTAACCGGGCTGCTGGACAACGAGGCCTGCTGCAAAAAAGAGGAGTGTGGGTTGGAGGCAAAAGTCTTCAAAATGAAAGGCTTTTAGTCTTGGTAGTTATCTTGGAGTGATCGGGGCTTGGTTTCCGAGCTTTTGGCGCTCCCCAGACCCCGACCGCGGCATTCGCGCAAAATCGCAGACTCTCCACCCAAGCCAGCCCCCAAACCCCGGGACCCCCAATTCGCTGTCTAAGTTAATCCAAGCCATCCCGGTCCACGGGGTCACGGACACCAGACTATTCAAGCTTTTGGTCGAGGGGGGGGGGGGGGGGGGGGGGGCTTCTATTTGGACCACTACATGACTGGCAGGGCCGAGGATTTCGTGAATTCACGAGGAAGCACCAAATAAGAACGTCATTAATTGGCCTCCCCCCCACCCCCCGTGCCCCACCCCTGAAGAAGACAAGCACACGCAAAGCAGGAAATGAAGAAGAACGTCACAACGAGGAAGTACGAAACAAGAGCGTCGTTACCCTCACCCCCACACCGCCCCCTTCCCCTCCGTGGAGCACCTAATTAGAGCAAACGTGCGTGAAACCTCCGGACATTCTGTGGGCGAGCATGGTACTACAACCACTATTAATACTGTTACGAGTACTATTACGACTACTATTACGATTACTATTACGATTATGGTTTAGGGTTTAGGGTTTAGGGTTTAGGGTTTAGGGTTTACTACTACTACTACTGCTACTGCTACTGCTACTGCTACTGCTACTCCTGCTTCTCCTGCTTCTCCTACTCCTACTCCGACTCCCACTCCCACTCCCACTCCCGCTCCCACTCCCACTCCCACTACTACTACTACTACTACTACTACTACTACTACTACTACTACTACTACTACTACTACTACTACTAACACTAACACTAACACTAACACTAACACTAACACTAACACTAACACTAACACTAACGCTACCGCTACCGCTACCGCTACCGCTACCACTACCACTACCACTACCACTACCACTACCACTACCAATACCAATACCAATACCAATACCAATACCAATACCAATACCAATGCTGCTGCTGCTGCTGCTACTACTGCCACTACCACTACCCCTACCCCCTACCCCTACCCCTACCCCTACCCCTACCCCTACCCCTACCCCTACCCCTACCCCTACCCCTACCCCTACCACTACCACTACCACTACCACTACCACTACCACTACCACCACCACCACCACCACCACCACCACCACCACCACCACCACGACCGCTGCTGCCACAACTGCTGCAACCGCCACCACCGCCACCACCCCCACCACCACCACCACCACCACCACCACCACCACCACCACCACCACCACCACTACTCTTGCTGCCCTAGTTAAGTAACAGTTTAGTAGTCAGTATCAAACAGTACCAGGAAGCAGAGAGAGAGAGAGAGACACGGAGCATCAGTCGTCTTGGCCGCAAGTGGAGTCGCTTTGCCAGGAAGGCCGTGATGGAAACATTGACCTTTCTCGAAGTCAGGAAGGTGCCTTACGTAGCATTTCGGATTCGAGGGGTGAGTTTGCGAAATTAGGATTCTGCTGACGCGAATCTCAAGGCTTCCGAAAGGGTTTCATGTCGCCGTCATGCACCAGTGTCATTAACTTGAAGACGTGCTGCCAGCACATTTGAACCTGCGTTTTCACTTAAGCACTGAAGCGGATCTAAACCCAGTTGTAGTTCACTCAAGAGTGCTCGTAACTGCTCGTATGTCTGGAAGCTGCGCTTATGTCCAGCCTGCCAGGGGAATCGTTTCTTCAAGTTTGGAAGCGTTGGCACAGTGTCGAGACGAGCCTCGTCATATCCATCGTCCATCGCTTCGTTGCCCTTCCTTTGGGTGATTGTCAAAATTAGGGTCGTCCCATTTTGGTTCCCTATTATAGTACGGCACCTAATATTTAGGGTACCCAAAAAGGTACCATAATTTTGACAACCACCCATGTACGCGATTTCGTTGTCTCAGGGGGTGCATTGTTGCAGCCTGCAGTCCGGGTCTGCCGGCAACTCTGGGTTTTCACCAACAAAAAATAATATGTAATAGTAAAAACAATAATAATGTATAATAATAATACTAATAGTAATAATACTTCCGTGTGCAGCAGGACGAAACGGGCCTGCCCATCAAGACGCTGTTTGTTTTCATGGGCTTTTGGTCTGGGTTGATGTAGCTATGCATCTATTTATTGTTTATGTGTCTATATAGATAGGAAATAGATACGTAGATAGCAGTGTATATATATATATATACACATATGTATTTGTTTATGTTGCTTGCATATATGTGGGCGCGCAAGTAATGCAAGTCATTCATATAAAAAGATCACCCATCATGTGAGAAGCCTTGTCCACTTCAGACAAAGCCTCAAACACCGGATCTAAAGCCTCTGTTGCCACAAACCCAGATCCTTGAGCCAGCCAGGAGCGAAGGGTGGAACAAGTCGCTTAAACAGAATTATATTATACATTATTATCATTATTGTTGTTATTGTTATTATTGTTATTATTGTTATTAGTATTATGATTATATTATTAAATATCATTATTATACATTATTTTTATTGTTAGTCTTATATATTATTATTAAACTATAATCTGAGCCGACAGGCAGCAGCCGGTCACGATGGCCAGGCAGTGGCAGCTCTGGAAAGAGCAGAGCTGGCGGCCGTGAGTTGTCTACCTGCCACGTATTGTGCGATTCTTTGGCTTGTAGCCGCCGAAGCTGCTTTTATCGAACGGCGATGTTTTTTGTTACATTTCATTAGAAAATTTCTTGTAGAGCTGCAATGGGAACGAGCATCGCACGGGTTGGGTAGTCATTCAGCCACAGTCATTTGGAAGAGCATTGTTCCATGCGCAACCCTGTAAACCCTAAACCCCTCGCCACTGGCACAAGTGAGAATCGAACTCAATCAACTTTTCACACCGACTCCGCACCTAAGAACCTCGCCTGGCTGTGTCCGAGTTGTGAGAGCGTAAACCCCTCGCCTGGCATGTCCCAGTTGTAAGAGCGTAAGCTCAGTGACTACATTTGCCCCGTTTTGGCTCGTCGGAAGGATTTACATAGGCACTTTTCTTTACCTTTTGGGCCAACACGGCCGTCGTCAACAGCGTTATAACCGAGGCCAAGGCCGGGAATCTGCACGAAGCTTGCATTTCGGCGCAGTGCGGATAGCCTCAATGCCCAGCGTTTCGTGTCACGGGAGCAGGTTCTGTGAGGGCAGCATTGGCCAATCCAGGATGGTTTGTCAACATTGACTCCGTGCACCCAAGCCTCAATCATGACACTTGTAGGATGTCTTACAACACCCGGACACCTGTGCAGGCGACCGTACTCATCCAAGATGACCAGGCCAGTCCTCTCGGACGTAAGGAAGATCCTCAGAAGTCTTTGACGCGATCCTCTCTCTCTCTCTCTCTCTCTGTCTTCCCGTTCTGTCTCCCACTGCTCCCGACTTGACTGCAGAGACGGTTATCAACATGTCCTGACATACATACATATGTACACACATACATGCATGCTGGCATATGCATAGACATACACACATACACGTACATACATTTACATACATAGGCATACAAGCAGCTACATATGCATACTTGCAAACACATGTACATACATATGCATACATATGACAGCATTTGCAGAAATGAGCACATACATATACACACCCACCCACACATATACGCATGTTCATGTTTAAACTGTCCATGTATGTATAGAGCGACGACGACTCTGGTCATGATGCTGATGGCGATATTGAACAGTACAAGGAGTTAGGTGAGTTTGCACATATACACACAGGCCAAGATAACGGTTACAGATATTTGCGTTAGTGTAGATATATATATATACATGCACAAATGCATAGGCATATCATACGTGTATACGTGTGCGTGTGTACCCGTGCCTAAATTTTTGGCTGTCTGCTGGCATGCACGTATGTGTATGTACATGTGCAGGGTATGTACATTACGTATGTATGGTATGCAGCTGTGTGTATGCATTTGTGTATATGTATACACATATGCACACTGGCTTCGCTGCTATATTGTCGTGCCGACATACTTTCATGACACAGCATAGGCGATCATCATTTGCAGGCCGACGGCCTCATCATGTGTTAGGGGAACCCTGAGAACTAATAATAAACCCTGGCGAAAGTAGGTTGTCGCTGTCCTCCGCCATACTGGCAGCGGGCACCCCAGCTGTTTGCTGCATGCACTTGTGATAGTACTCATATCTCTGTCTGGTCTCTGAGGATGACTTGCTTGCATCTTTGATGAGCCATCTCCCCCTGCGAACTTGTTCTATGGCCCTGAGTCAAGGTTTGATGTTTTTTAGTCATCTGGGGAGCGCAGTAGGGACGAGAACCTCAAGTCGTAGGCAGCCACCCTCGAAGCCCCAAGACCTATAAATCCCATACTTCTTGACCTCTCAGTCTTTTAACCAAGACGTGTCAAGAATGCCAAGCATATGCTTGGCCAAGGCCCTCGCCACATGCAATTGGGCAATTTCGGAGGCCGGGTCGTGCTGCTTTGGGCAGGAACTAACCGTCCCGTCCTATGTGTAAGTGATGTCAGGGCAAACACTATAATACTATAATACTATAATACTATAGTACTATAATACTATAATGCTATAGTACTATAATACTATAATGCTATAAGTAGTAATCCCCAAAGAGATTTGCCCCAGCGGTGAGGGTGCTCGGCTCATCGTTGCGGTTCTTGAATCCAGCTTGAATCAGAAACCACCAATCCTGGGCAAAAGAAGAGGACGCAAGCCTCCTCCACGACGACAGTGAGTGCAGCACCAAAGACCGGGCGAAGGGCGAGGGGAGGGGTTGGATTGTCGGTCAAGTGTGTTGTGATCTGAACTCTCAATTGTGCGCCAGTAGCGGAAGAGAGACTTCACGCATTTAGGTCGAAGGTTTCAAAGGTCGTCCCTCGACAAAGCAGGCTTTAGGTCAATGAGGCCATAGTCACCAAAGCAGAGGGCAGAATTACAATCAACAGAACTTCTGATCGAAGCATATCGAAACATAATCACACATGTCACTTGTTTACTCATCATGGAGTTTGGTATAAGGTGCAGTCTTGCACTTTTCTAGCAGCAGTATTTACAGCATATTCTGTTATAAACAGTCATATGCCAGACGGATCACGACTCTTCGGTAAGGCTGCATCTCCAGACTCCAGAAGCAATGCCACTAAATGATCATGATGAAAACCATTATGTTTACACTCACCGGTCAAGGGTCAAGTTGACCGTTATGCTCGCTCCGATCGCACACCCACGGGGATTCATAGCAGATGTACAACGAAGTACACCCGTCGACATACATGAACGGTTTTTTGATGTGTGACTTAGCCAAAAACTCCCCAAGAGTCCATCATGTCGCAAACCCCAAACCGAAGCCACCAGATAGAGGCTAGACCGAAACATTAAGGTTCCAATTGGTGCATGTTTCGTTTCGGGAAAATCCAATCATCAAAGTCTTCATGTCGAAGGTGTGCGAAACGCTTCGTGGTCTGTTTCTTGGTTGGACCATCCGGGGCATGTCACACCGAATCTACGACTCCCAAAGCCAGAACTTCACAATTTGATTTAGTTGACTTGTCGACGTTTAAGTCTCTCCAATTCTTGAGAACCATGTCAGCTATATAACTTGCACGTGAGTGACGGTATCAGGGGTCACATGCATGTTGAAGTCATTGTTAGTCTAGGGTGTGCTGTGACAAGGTCGAATTCTACCCAGGTGCTGCATGTAAACTCTCTTTCTGAAAACAACCATTGATGTGTCGGCTTGCCTGTCTGGTTGCAAGTTCGTGATGCGCGTGCGTTGGCGCAGGCTGCATGCATGGACGTATGTAATGCAATGTGATGTACTGGAGTGTATGTATGGTTATGTAACATATGCATGCACGTTTGTACATATATGTGTGCGTGTGCGTGCATGTATATTGCACTCACATACACACATACTTGCTTACATACATATGTACGTACAGACAAACATACAACCAGTCTGTGTTGGTACATCTAAGTGTATGCATCCGTGTACATGTTATCCATACCTCCGCGGCTGTGTAGCATGTTCTGTCTCTTTTTTTGTTTCTCTCTCGCTCTCTTTCTCTGTCTCTCTCTCTCTCTCTCTCTCTCTCTCTCTCTCTCTCTCTCTCTCTCTCTCTCTCTCTCTCTCTCTCTCTCTCTCTCTCTCTCTCTCGCTCTCCTTATCTCCATTTGTCGGTATGTATGTACATATCTGTGTATTTTGCACATACGTAAATACAGAGAGAGATACATACATACTTAGTTGCTTACGCGCTTACATACACACTTACGTACACACGTACATACGCACATGTATTTGCAGATGTACGACGTATAAACATCTGTACATACATACGTATAGAGAGATATTTCTTTCTTTATACATTATTTGCATATGTTATGTACGCGCATATACGAGTGTACAAACATATACACACATGCGTACATAGAATTGCAAATATATATATATATATATATATATATATATATATATATATAGAGAGAGAGATATATATATATATATATATTGTTATTGTATGCTACAGTTTGTATATACATATTTTTGGTGACGTACCATATCACGAGAGCTCGACTTTACAGTACCGATTGTGAGGATGACTGCACCCTGGTCGCTCTCCAGCGCGGAGCCTTGAAAAGGAGCCTTCAGCACAACATACGGCACACTTTCGAGCGACGGTTCTCGCTCCGACCAGCGTCAAACGCTGCAGCGCCTGCTTGGCTGTCGGTTGAATTGTCTACAGCAGGGATATTCGCGCGCTGTTCTTTGATTAAGCCTGCCTTCCTCCGCTTCAGCACCGGAGGACCCACGACCAGGAGGCCGAGAAGCCACGATCAGAAACTTCGCTCGCAGCCGGCGTGACATGAGTTCGGGCTTCCATTACTGTGCCACTACTAGTACGACGGCTGCTACTGCTATCACTATCGCTACCGCTACTGCTGCTGCAGCTGCTGCTGCTGCTGCGACGACGACTATAACTACTTCTTCCACTGCTACGGTTGCTACGGCAGCAACGGCAACAGCAACAACAACAACAACAACTACTACTACTACTACTACTACTACTACCGCTACTATCGCTATTGCTTTTGCTGTTATTACCAGTGTTATCACTATTACTATTGCTGTTTTCATTTCTATTCTATTAAGTTTTGTTGCTAGTACTACTACCACTACTACTACTACTACTACTACTACTACTACTACTACTACTACTACTACTACTACTACTACTACTACTTCTACTACTACTACTACTACTACTACTACTGCTACTGCTACTGCTACTGCTACTGCTACTGCTACTGCTACTGCTACTGCTGCTGCTGCTGCTGCTGCTGCTCCTACTGCTTCTGCTGCTGCTGCTACCGCTCCTGCTACAGCTGCTGCGACTGCTACAACTGCTGCTACTGCCACTAGTACTACTACTACTCCTCCTACTGCTACTACTACTACTACTACTACGACTACTACTACTACTACTACTACTACTACTTCTACTTCTACTACTTCTACTACTACTACTACTACTACTACTTCTACTACTACTACTACTACTACTACTACTACTACTGCTCCTAGTGCTGCTGCTCCGCTA